ATCATAGCTCACTGCACCCTCAAACTCCTGGGCTCAAGTGATGCTAACACCTAACAAGTGATGCTCCTGCCTCAGCCTCCCAAGTAGCTGGGACTACAGGAGCCCGCACCACGCCTAGCTAATTTTTCTATTTTTAGTAGAGATGGAGTCTCCCTCTTGTTCAGGCTAGTCTCTAATTCCTGAGCTGAAGCAATCCTCCAGCCTTGGCCTTCCAAAGTGCTAGAATTACAGGTATGAGCCACCAGCCCGGCCACCAGTTTCCAATTCTGTATTTTGTTTTGGTTGACCAATATCAAGAAAATCTACCTATTATAGTCCTTCTGTTGATTGAGGGGGTGAAAAAAACAGGCATTATACTAAGTGAAATTTAGTATAAACAGGCTATATCTATCAAAATTCAAATTGTATATATACTTTTACCCAACACAGATCCTACAAATATACTCCCATTAAGCACGCAAAAAATAAAAATGTTCACTGTAACATTGTCTATGGTAGAAAAAAAAAAAACAGGAACAACCTAAAAAGCTCATTAATGAAGGTCTTTCTGGTTAAATAAATTATGCTACATCCATATCATAGAATACCAACCAAATATTTTTATAATCAGATATACGTAATGATAAAGAAAAATACTCAAAGTCATATACTAGGCCGGGTGTGGTGGCTCACACCTGTAATCCTAGCACTCTGGGAGACCAAGGCAGGGGATCATTCAAGGTCAGGAGGTCGAAACCAGCCTGAGCAAGAGTGAGACCCTGTGTCTACTATAAATAGAAAGAAATTATTGGCCAATTAAAAATGTATAGAAAAAATTAGCTGGGCATGGTGGCACATGCCCGTAAGTCCCAGCTACGCGGGAGCTGAAGCAGAAGGATTGCTGAGCCCAGGAGTTTGAGGTTGCTGTGAGCTAGGCTGATGCCACGGAACTCTAGCCTGAGCAACAGGGGAAGACTTTGTCTCAAAAAAAAAAAAGAAACAAAGCAAAAAAACAAATTAGCTTAATATTTTTTTCAAAAATACTAATCACACAAATAGTATTTATTCATCTTATAATCTCAGGATATTCTTCAATTAAATAGATTCAGAAACTTACAAGAGTAAAGAGGTTTTTTCTGCAAGTTGAATCCCCATTAACACCTAACAATTGCTCATATTCCTCATCATAAATATGTTAGGAAAAGCACCAAAAACTTCCAATAAACACTAAAATTAAAACTAATGTGGTAGTTTCAGTTTTCTTATTACTCTTACACTTATGTTTGTTCAAGTATTCTCTGGACAGGCACATTTATCTGACAACTCGAGCTTGTACTATTCTCACTTGTATAACTATTTGTGAACAGTCACACACATCACAATTCAAAGACAGACCAGATATAACTGAAGTTAAAATATATACCATGTGTACTATTCATTCATTCACACATTTGGCAAATATTTACTGAGTGCTCACTATCAGTCAAGCACTGTGCTGGGCACTGGGAACTTAACAGAATAAGAGAGACAAGGTCTCTGCCTTACTGAAACTTACATTCTATTCGGGGGAAAAGTCAGAAAAACCTGTATTCTGATGTGTCACATGTTACTCCTCCATCCACAAGTTAACATACTAGTAATTACAAATGTCCTTAAATTTGGGATTAAACAGAATGGCATGTGCAAGGTTTTTATTTGTCTAGTTTTGGATTGTTTGCTGTGAAAAACTTGATTTTTATCCTCTCTTTGAATGTCACATCTCGACCTCTAGTTGAAGCACATACCTACTTACATTTTTAAATATCTTATGTGCATTGTTTCAAAAAATGCACAAGAAACTTTAAGGCAGGGTACAGTGATTTATGCCTGTAGTCCCAACACTTTGGGAGCCAGAGGGGAAGGATCAATTGAGCCCAGGAGTTCAAGGATTACAGTGAGGTATGATCTCGTCACTGCACTCCAGCATGGGCTACAGAGCAAGACCTTGTCTCTTTAAAAAAAAAAAAAAAAAAGAGAGAGAGAGAGAAATTTTTAGAGTAGTTTTAGGTTCACAGCAAAATTGAGAGGACAGCACAGAGATATCCTATACACCCCCTGTATCCAAACATTCATAGTCTCCCCTGTTATCAACATCCACCAGTGTGGTACATCTATCCACCAGTGTGGTACATCTATTACAACTATGAACTTATACAGTTTGATAAATTAAAGTTTATTACTGGGCTGGGGGCAGTGGCTCACACCTGTAATCCCAGCACCTTGGGAGCCTGAGGCAGAAGGATCACTTGAACCCAGGTGTCCCAGGCTACAGTGAACTATGACTGTACCACTGCACTCCAGCCTGGACAACAAAGCAAGACCCTGTCTCTAAAAATAAAATAAAGTTTTACTACTAATTATTTAAGAAAATAGTGAGAGTTCAAAGAAATGTACAGTTCTGGAAACATCTTTATGAAACTATTCCTCAGAAAGCAAAAGGCTAGAGGAAAAATGGCTAGGGCCACATAAAAGCTAAATTGTACTGAGTAAAAGCTTACTCTGTACAGAGAGCACTTTAAATGTATTATTTCACGTAAATCTCCCAATAACTACAGTTAAGAGTATTATCTCCACACTGAATAAGAAAGCAAACTCAGATAGGCTAAGTAAGTTTCCCAAAGTCACTCAGCTAGAAAGATGGCAGAATCCTGGCAACCTGGAACTGAGCCTAAGCTTTTAACCTCTGTGCCAGGTACAGTCCTGAATGATGGCAGGCCTCTGATGCCATGACAGAGAGATATACTATTGCATATTTAATCTTGCAGGCAGTGTGAACAGAGGTTTACAGGATTCGCAAGGGGAAAAAAAATCACCTCATAAAGTCTGAGGTGTCCAACTTTAGGAAGAAAACTTGGTCCACAGTGTGTGTGATGACCTGGACCAGGGAGCACTGGAGTCAGTGGTTATCAACTAAAAAACAGTAAAGGGGTCCATCTAACTCTAAATTCTTCAAAGCAAACTTGTTGAACAGAGACAACCCAGCCTCCTGATACCCTCCTTCCTAGAGAAGTTTCTTTCCATTAAAACAAGATGTCAAAGAATTGTGAACAAGAAACTGGTGAATCCACACAGTAAACCAAACATATTTACCCTCCATCTAGTAGAATAATGTTTTCTAAACTGTGTTAGGTGGAGAACAACTGCCCAGTCAGACTGTTCAGCTAGAGCTAGACTGAACAAATCTAACGGATGTGCTGGGGCTGACGGGAAACACCCTGGCCTCCTCCTAAAAAAAACTGAACAACCCAATTAGAACTCTTAGAAAAGAAAAGGAATACTGGTTACTCTAAACAATTTGGTTGTTTCCTTCATTAAACAAACAGTTATTACTGATTACCATGTGAAACCACAAAGTATGAGAGACATTCCTGTTGTATGAGTTGCAAGCACTTACTATATACATGTGATGCTACAATTTTCACTCTTGCCACAATTAGCTCAGTAATTTAAGAATTGTTTTCTGGGGGTTTCTGCAGGTGCTTGGAATATGTTGTGGATAGGAGTAGATTATCAGTGAGAAATGCTGGAAGGTGAAAAACAGGAAAATTCCTTTCCTATACAAGTATCTGGAGGTGCACTGAACTGTATTTATGTTTCCTGTCTTACTGCACTTTGAAAGTCTCAAAGCACTACATTAAGAAAGAATCGAACACCTATCCCTTAGGTGGCTTCAGGTCAGCCATAGCTATTCTGTTGAGATTTTACGATCTCTCCTAGTATGGTAGACAGAATAATGTCCAGCTAATGATGTCCACATCCTAATCTCCAGAATTTTAATTACAAATTTCCCTTCCATAGCAAAGAGAAATTAAACTGCATGTGGAGTTAAGGTTGCTACTCAGCTGACCTTAAAATAGGGAGATTATCCTGGATTATCTGGGTAGGCCCAATGTAATCACAAGGAACCTCAAAAGCAGAAGAGGGAGGCAGAACAGAAGTCATCACAAGCTCAACAGGCAAGGAAACACATTCTCCCAAGAACCCAAAAAAGAAACACAACTCTCCCAAACCCTGATTTTAGCCCTGTATCTCTCACCTCCTCAGATTCTTCACAACCCCCCCCCAAATAAATTTCCTTGTTGTTTTAAGCTACTAAATCTTTGGTAATTTGTTACAACATAAAATAGAAAACGAATACACCAGGTTTCTTCTAATCCTCGGATTTTAGGAAAATTCTGATAATAATTACTACTAAAATGACCCTGTAATACAGGACATTGTCGGTCTGAACTGTTTGGTACTGCTCCCCAGTGAGATAAAGACAAAAATTGAGTTTATTTTTATATAATTCAATTTCCTGTCTTCTGAGTCTACTATTTAAAAAAATACTCAGGCTTGTACTCTAGTTTATTTCATCCACTTCATTTATCTATAATTTTATGGTATTTCACAAAACTATTGGCTGAGGCAGATGGATATTCAACTTTTTTTAAAAAAAGAGATCATTTGCCGAAAAGGAAAGTGAAGCGCTGACACGTTAAATCACTTGTTCAAGTTCAGACAGACGGAAATTCTCTCATTCACCTAACTACTGAATTAATAAATGTATATGAAGAGCCTTGTGCGGCAGACACCAAGCTCCAAGCCGGAGCTACGGTGTACATACAACACGTCCGAGCAGAGCCCTGACTCTCCCAGGTGAGTCCAGTTCGCCTCAGAGCCCCAGGAGTCGCCCTAGACCACACAACGGCAGCGCTCCCATTGGTATCCCCCCACCAGCACTCGCCCCAGGAAGACGCGCGCGGAACAGTGTGGACAGAGCCGGGCCAGCACGTAAATGCCGTATAAAAGTACAACGAAGGGAAGAAAAACACCAACCACACGCTCTTATCACAGTGGCCGGCCGCTGGGCCACGAGGCTGCCCAACTCCGCGACCCTCCCCGGAATCCTTGATCCACTCCCCGCACGGGGCTCCGCCCGGACTCCCGACCCCGCCCACCGCGTCACCAGCGCGTCTCCCGAGACTCCTCGGCCGCCCCACCTCTGCCTTCCGCTGTAGCTCCGAGTGCCGCTCCAGCGCGCTCGCGAAGCCGCCCGGTTGCGTCTTAGGCTCCTGAGAATCGGAACTCTTACTCTGAGAACCACTCTCAGTGCCTGCGCTCCGAAAGGGCCTGGAGAAGAGAAACACTCGCAGAAAACGGCTCTCGGCAGCCACAGCACGAGTCCGGCACAAGGTCGCCATGACAGCTTCACAACCTCTGACCTTTGGCCTTCTCTCCGTAAGCGCGCGGGTTACGGGGCGGAGCGACAACAGCCCCGCCCACCTGCCGCAGCGCACTAATGGCCGACCGGCTTGGTTACGTCTGGTACCACCGGGCAAGGAAGGCACCGTAGGGCAGAGGGGACTTAAGCTGAAATTGGTGGGTTAAATCGCTGGTGGCAGGAGGTCCGCTAAACTTTGCGTGGGAAGCGCTTTTAACTTGCAGGAATTTCGCTTCCCCAGCGCTGGGCACCCGTTGGTCTCTTGCAGCTTCTGGTTAAGTGACGTTTGCCGTTCCCCTCGCCTGGATATCCCCTCTAGATGACCGCCTGGCTCTCTCTCCCACGCTCCTCCAGTCTTTACTCAAATATGAAGTTCTCCTTGCTCACCTATTTAGAATTGGAAGCTCCCCTCCCCCCATTAACACTCTGCCCAGCTCCTGTTTTTTTCTATACCACTTAGCACTTTCTAATTTACCATATACTTTACTTGAAATAATCTTTAGTGTATACTCTTCCAACTTTGTAAACTCCGTGAAAACAGGAGCTTTGCTCTTGTACCCCTGGCACTGGGCATACGGTAGGGCTGGAGAAATAGTTGTGAAACCCTGGATCCACGTTTGTCCTTGTTTGCCACTGCTGAGGCCAATCCACCATCTACGTTACAAAACTAGTCTTTCTGAGACGTTTTGTTACTTCTAGATAGCTACTATGCCTGTTAGAGAATTAAGAAGTTTGGAATGTGCCCAAATATTGCTCCACCGGAGACCCCCCCACACTCTTTATGTTCTTCCACTTTTCCCCCCAATGGTAATTCCCAGAATTTGCATACCCTTTTCTAAACTGGGCCTAACACCATACCTGAGGTGTTTACAAATTAAGTTGTCTTTTATCTGGCAGTTTTATATTTAACCGCAATTAATTATTCTAAGGGCAGGTGACACACTCCTTTCCAGTTCATCTGCAAGTACTTTGAGATAAGGAATTTTTGAGACAGGGTCTTGCTCTGTCTCCTGGGCTAGAGTGCAGTGGTGTCATAGCTCACTACAACCTCAAACTGCTGGGCTCAAGCAATTCTCCTGCCTCAGCCTCCAAAGTAGCTGGGACTGCAGGCAACGGAGGCCACCACGCTCAGCTAATTTTTCCATGTTTAGTAGAGATGGGTCTGGCTCTTGCTCAAGCTGGTCTTGAATTCCTGGCCTCCACCAATCCTCTAGCCTAGGCCTCCTAAAATGCTAAGATTACAGGTGTGAGCCACCACGTCCAGCCAGACCTTATTTTAGTAATGCCTTTGACTATGGATTTTAAATTTCTGATGCTCTCAAACTAATGGCATAGACAGCATACAGAATACAGGACATTGGGCCGGGCGCGGTGGCTCCCGCCTGTAATCCTGAAGCTCTCTGGGAGGCCGAGGCTGGCGGATCGTGTGAGCTCAGGAGTTTGAAACCAACCTGAGCAAGGGCGAGACCCTTCTCTAAATAGAAAAGAATTAATTGGCCAACTAATATATATAGAAAAAATTAGCCGGGCATGGTGGCACATGCCTGTAGTCCCAGCTACTTGGGAGGCTGAGGCAGTAGGATTGCTCGAGGCCAGGAGTTTGAGGTTGCTGTGAGCTAGGCTGACGCCAAGGCACTCACTCTAGCCTGGGCAACAAAGTGAGACTCTGTCTCAAAAAAAATAAAAATAAAAAAGAATACAGGACATTGACCTTGGAATGGTGTATAATTGTATGGATCATGTAAGATTTATTACTAGCCAACTCCTGGGTAAGTCCTTACAAATTCAGCAGGGGGTTTAAGATAAATTCTACTCCAGGTGAGTTCTCCCTCTTGACACTTAAACTATTTCCCTTGACCATAAATGGACTCTAAAAACAATTTTGCATTATCTATGCCTGTTGCTACTTCCACTTCCTTTCAGAAGAAAGTGTAAATTGTAAAGAGCATAGCCAATGACTTTTAAGAACCCTGAGTTCTAGTCCTGACTCTAATCCTGATCTTAAGCAGGACAATTTAATGTTGCTGATTTGTAAAACCAAGCTATTGCCCTCTGTCCCAAGTTTAAGGAAGTGCTTTGTAAACTTAACTATTAATACATCAGTACGCACAGAACAAATGGGGTTATTAAGGTCCTAGCTCTAAAATTCAGCAGATGTATTTATATTTTTGTCCCATCTCAGCTAGATAACAATTCCTGAAGGATTGTGACAACAGGCATTTGGAGACAAATCCTGTAGTTTTTAATGTATTTGGTGATGGATGTATGTACTCACAAGATAGGATACATCATCTTGAAGCCTTCAATTTTACTTGTAGACAGACAGTTACTTTCACATTAAACACATTTTTAAAAAATATATGAAATGCAGAATTCATCTGATTTTAAAATGTAGAATTTGTGTCAGCTGACTTCAAGTTATGCCTTAAAACTGTCTGCCTTTGGTAGAGCATCAGAAGCATCAAATGAGAGGAACTATGAAGTACCAAGCAAGTCAAGCAGGATGTCTGCAGACTCTACTTGTCTATACAAGCACGAACAGTGATATGGGCCGTAATGGCAGTGTTTCCACATCTTCATGGCATCTTAAGAGTTCTGATCCTGCTTTAATTACACCTTCTTGCTTTATTAAAAATATAAGCCTCTTTTTTTCTCATGTAGCTTCCAAATTGTTAACACACATTGCAAAAATATTAGTAATGGCAGATGGCAAAGAAAATAGTTCAAGTCTACTAAGAAATGTGATACTTTACATCTACTGGCTATGTTTCATCTACAAAATATTGACACTGCCACGTACCTGAGTAAAGAATTAAAGGTGATAAGTGTAAAATGCCCAGGCACTTCCTGAAAGCTCAGTGAATAGTAGTTATAGGTGGAGATGACATGAAGTTATTAGAAATTCATGCCTCTTAACTACATACGCAAACCTGGGATAATGTCTGGAGGTACAGATTCGGGAGCTACTAGTATCATTCTAGAGGTAGTCATTTCAGCCATAGAAATAGATAAGATCACTAAGAGGATCATGTAGAAATCACAGTCCCCAACACCCAGGCCACGGACCAGCCCTGTTGGGAATGGGTCTGCATAGCATGAGGTGAGCAGTGGTGGGTGTTCAAAGTGTCATCTGTATTTACAGCTGCTCCCCATCACCTGCATCATCGGCATAAGCTCCACCTCCTGTCAGATCAACATTGGCATTAGATTCTTACAGGAGCTTGAAGCCTACTGTAAACTGCACATGCAAGGGATCTAGGTTGCACGCTCCTTATGAGAATCTAATGCCTGATCTGAGGTGGAGCTGAGGCGGTGATGCTAACGCTGGAGAGTGGCTGCAAATACAGATTATAATTAGTAGAGAGTTTGTACAATGAATGATATGTGCTTGAATCATGCTGAAACCATCCCCCCAAACCACTCCCACCTCTGGAAAACTGTCTTCCATGAACCTGGTCCCTGATGCCAAAAGGATTGGGGACCACTGATGTAGAAGGTAACTGGGGGATAGCATTTGAGGAATTGGAAGAACACTAATACTAAAAAATAGTGAAACTGTTAAATAAGAATCCTAGAAACCAAGGAAAACTTTAAAGCATGTGTTGAAGTGGAGAATGTTACCGTGAAAGATCATATCCACTTACAAATATTGAAACAACAAAATTGTGTCTGGTTTTTTACTGTGTTGTACAAAAACCATCAAATAATCACACTACTAACAACCTCAGTGACTGACATCAAAGTTACATATAAGAACTGGCAAGAATTTTAGTTGCCAAATAGGATTTAAGTATGAAATCCTGGCAGGTGATAGCATATGCAGGCCCTACCCACTGAGGGCTTGCAAACTTAAGAGTGAAAAGCCTTTTGGTTCATTGTTATCTCAGACAATAGGGAAATTGTGAAAACTAAGCTTTGCAGGTTTATTTAAAAGTGATACTGCTTTATATTAACTGTGATCCACATGTGGTCTCTATAATTAATCCAATTAGAATGTCATTAAAAATGACAAATCAATGGCCAAGGGTCTCTTCACTATGGGCAAAAATGTAATTATTCATCTGGACTTTAAGAGCTATGAAGAAACACATGACTGGGCACAAGGGCACAGGTCTGTAGTCTCAGCTACTTTGGAGGCTGAAGTAGGAGGCTCACTGGAGCCCAAGAGTCTGAGGCCAGCCTGGGCAACATAGTGAGACCCTCCCCCATCTTCACCCCCAAAAAATGAAAAAGAAACACATGATCTCGACAAACATATGTAGCATCTCCTCTGGCACATATGCAGCAAAAAAGTTAGTTAATAAGTGCCTTTTGGTAGCCAGCATGTAGCTTTTTCAGTTTTGCTTGATTTTTTGTTGTTTTTTTTTTTTTTTCCTTGAGACAAGAGTCTCACTCTGTTGCCCAGGCTAGAGTACCATGGTGTCAGCCTAGCTCACAGCAACCTCCAACTCCTGGGCTCAAGCAATCCTTCTGCCTCAGCCTCCCAAGTAGCTGGAACTACAGGCACGCGCCACCATGCCCGGCTAATTTTTTCTATATATTTTTAGTTGGCCAATTAATTTCTATTTTTAGTAGAGACGAGGGTCTCGCTCTTGCTCAGGCTGGTTTTGAACTCCTGACCTTGAGCGATTCGCCCGCCTCAGCCTCCCAGAGTGCCAGGATTACAAGTGTGAGCTACTGCACCCAGCCTTGATATGTTGATTCAATAGGATTTTTCATGGTTTCTTTACATATCCAGAACATGAAGGGTTTGGAGAGAGGATGCATAATAGGCTTGCCCCTTTCCTTAACAGACAGGTAATACATACAAAAGAACCCATACCCAAATCATAGAATTTTTATTGTTTTCAAATACTATACAAAAAAATAGACAGTATGTATATTTTAACAGATCCAGAAACAGTCCAAATTAAACATTTTCTTCCCCTATTTCAAGTTACTTTGAGATGCTACAATGATAATCCAATTACTGAGTTCTATTCTCTTCCATCCAGTCACTTGGCCTCATAAGCATAAGAATTCTTGCTTTATTTCCCACAAAGTTTAAATTAAGGACATCCCTTTTTGTAAGAAAGGAATTATCTTCAGGGATATTTTCTTTTGCACTTTTTGAGTCCTTAAATATCTGAGATTTCATGCTCTTGTTTTCTTCCAGTGTTAAACAAAAAACACAATAACCAGGACTTCTTTCTAGTATTTCCATTAATTACTGTTTCAAATTCCTTAAATATGTGTGAATTCATGTTGAATCTGCTACAAAGACCATTTTGAATAAGTCTAAATCTATGTCTATTTTTCTAAATTCATCTTCACTCTTTGTACTACTTCTTTAAGGGGCAGAGTACTTTACAATAGATTAATTTTTATTTTAGATTAAATGTATGTAGATGTCTAGAAAAGTGATTCTCCAATTTCTTCTTTCACAACCATCCCCAATACGCACTATGTATACCCATCCCACTTCCCACCCCTATTTCTATCATTTCCCCCCCAATTGGGCCATAAAGGGATTTGAGGATATTTTTCCTCAACTAAAGAAACTGCCATCTCACTCAATTTTGCCTTGTTGAAAAGATAGTAATAGGGCAGGACACCCAAGAAACAATGTGATAAAAAGATGTTGGAATAAAAAAAATTAAAGACTAGTTGGCAGAAAATAATTTAACAGTTATGTTGAATCACCACAATATTTCCATAGAAAGATAAATTTCTGCAGATCCACTTTTTGGGGACAATGCTTCAACAACCTTTACCTTAAATCCTCTAAAAGGAAATTATTTAGAATATGTTAATATGATACCATTAAGCAATGATTTAAAATGGATGGTTAAAAAACTCTTTTTTTTTTATCATAGACAACAGTTGATTCTTTAACACAACAAGCTTTTTCCGGACCATTGGTCTCATAATAAATATTAAGACCTATACTATTGATATACAGAATTTACTAAGCTTTTCACATGTAATAGAGCATAGTTTTAATTGCATCCAAAATGCTAACAAAAAAGCTCTAGCAATCAAGAATGGCAACATGTTATTTCATAACAATCAACACTTGTGGCTTTTCAAATTTGGTTTTCATAAGATAATTTATCCTGAAGTAAATCTAGCCATGCTTTTAAAAAATGCTTTAGGTCACTCCAAGCTTGGCAGTTAACATTTGGCATAGACAATAAAACAACCACAACTTGATAAATAACAAATACAACATTGTAGGCCATAAACATATACAGCATAAAGCAAAAGTGGTGGTGATGTGTAAGTAGTTATTAGAATTGAGTACCTTGGCCTCTGCAAATTCGTCCAGAGGCCATGATTCACTCAGCCCCAACGCTCAGTTCTCAAAAAAAAAGAGGCAGTGTCTACAGTATCCTTTTACAACTTCTAACACATTGAAAACAAACTAAGTAGAAAAATGATGAGTTGATTTTTATTAATGCTTTACAACCTCAGGAGTTATCACCAACCCCTTAGTACAAAAAATGCTCAAGTTATATTAGTCTTATAACTCTGTGTGCTTATTTTAAATGGTGCTAAATGGATTAAATGAAGACAACAATGTTTCACCTAATGTGATTGATTTTGGTGTTTTTACAGCAATCTAGATCTAAAAGACTTTCAGTTTGAATTGACAAGAATGCTTATATTTTAACCTACTGATAATACAATATGCTCGATTCAGAATGTTATTTTGTCAATTTACTCAAACTAGAATTTTAACCTGGTAAAAAATTAGTTGATATGAGTGACATAGTAACCAGTACACTGAAATGGTTACTGTCATAAATGGAGACAAGGATGGAGGGGAGAGGAGTTCTACTCTCATCACCTACAAGTTTGATTATTGTACACATTGTCACTTACAAAACTGTAACAAATTAGATGGAGAGCTGTTTATGCTAATCTGGTGTCTTCAGATACCCAAGATGTGTACCTTGTACCAAAACAGTGTTTATTCCAAAATACCTATTTGTAGCTGGTAGCTCTTCCCTTAAAGGTAAAGAAAATATACGCAAACTTTTAATAACTAGGAATCAGAAAATGTTAAAGAACAATTTTAATTAGGAATCAAATATACAGAGATTCAAAGAGAAAAGGAAATCTTGTAGAAGCCAAACTGGCATCCCACATCTAGAGCAATTTTGCAAAGTAAGAAAGTGACTATGACAACCTGCAGCTTCTTAGATCCTTCTAGTGAGTGTCCCCAGGTACTATAAGTGTTTTTAATAATGGTGTTTCCTAAATAAAGGGCCTTAAATACACATTAAAGGGTGTTTCCTAGGAATAGAGGTGAAGATATTTTCATTTTGTTTAACCCACAAACTATTTGGTCAAAGGAATATGTAAAGCTAAATAAAAGCACATCTGGTAGAAATTCATGACAATGAATGTTGACAAGATGTGCTTGGATCTTGCTTGCAGCATCTGGCAGTGGGTAGCAGAACAAAGGTAGGAATCTCACAGGCTCTCCTGTGTGGGTTCTGGAAGAGGCTCCGTGGCGGTGGCACTAGCATTTGCAGTTGAATTCAAGACTTCTCCAAAATCACCGCCTGCAGGCTTGGTTCCCCCTACTTTGGACTTTTAAAAAAAGTTCATAAAAGGAAAAGACATCATGAAACATAAAATTAGCTGATTCTGCATAAAGTAACTGTAATTTTACTTTCAAGAACAAATAAATCAGGAACCTAATAGCTCAGTGATTAGTATGTATGTATGGAATTTAGTACTGTTGTAATGTTGACTGTGGTTTCATAGCAAAACTTATGCATTCTTTTTTGAACTACTCAGACTGGTAAATTCTACACTTTCTCCTTTTTTCTCCCTGTCTGCTAATTGTTCTTCACATGGAAATCTGTCTAAAGAACTTTGTAAGGTCTATTACTTTAAAATATCTATGAACTTTCTTTATACTTGGATAACATTTTGTATTGCATCAAAGTGTTCATTCAGCTACACTCATTCAAGAAATATTATTGAGTACAACAAAGATAATGTATGTATTTTTCCCAGTTACAGTAAAGCTTTCTAACCTTTTACTACTTAAAGTGTGGTCCAAGGACCTACATACCCAACATCACCTGGGATCTTGTTAGAAATGCAGAATCTCAGACATCCCCTCGACCCCCAACTCAACTCCAAATAGAGTTTAAAAAGATCCCCAGGTGGGCCAGGCACGGTAGCTCACACCTGTAATCGCTGCACTCTGGAGGCTGAGGGTGAGCTGTTGAGCTTCAGCGAGTTTGAGACCAGCCTGAGCAAGAGAGGACTCTTTCGACTAAAAATGAAAGAAATTAATTGCACTAAAAAATATATATATATATATATATTTATATTATAATATTATATATATATATATAGTATATAATAACTGTACCAGACATGGGGGCGCATGCCTGTAGTCCCAGCTACTCAGGAGGCTGAGGCAGTAGGATCGCTTGAGCCCAGGAGATTGAGGTGCTGTGAGCTAGCTGATGAGGCACTCACTCTAGCCTGGGCAAGAGTGAGACAGACTCTGGTCTCAAAAAAAAAAAAAAAAGATCCCCAGGTGATTCCTGTGCACATTATAGTTTGATTACCCTAGAAGCACAACTCCAAGCTACGTACTGAAATTTTGTCAATAATTGTTTATTTGAATGAATATATCCTGCCTACATTCTATAAATATTTATGCTCTTTCAAAACCTACACATAACATGTCACTTACCCTCTTCAACACAGAGTGATCTATGCTCTCTCACTTGTTACATCTCATGATATCCAACAGACCACTAACAGTTAAGAAACCAGTCAGTGACCAAGGATGCAATAAGGTCACAGGGGATTGAACTTGACCTTGCTCTTAGCTCATCCTTACTGACTGGGCAGAGACTCATTAACAACTACAATCTAGTGAAATTTTCCCTCATTGTTTTTGATTTCCCATCCAAATATCTTTTAATTGGTTTGGGAAATTGTATAGCATATCTATTATTTATTTACACAATTACTAAATAACATTCCTTAATTTAAGAAAATATCAAGATTCCTTGCAATCAACATGCTAAACTGAATCCTCCCACAACTGGCCCCTTCTCTCTATATATATTTTTTCCTAAGGCAGGGTCTTCTTGCTCTGTCTCTCGGGCTAGAGTGCAGTGGAGTCATCATAGCTCACTGCATCTCAAACTTCTGGGCTCCAGTGAGCCTCCCAAGGTGCTGAGACTACAGGTGTGTACCACCATGCCCGGCTGATTTTTCTATTTTTGGTAGAGAAAGTCTGTACTTGGCTCAGGTTGTCTTGAACTCCTCGGCCTCAAGTTATCCTCCTGCCTCAGCCTCCCAAAGTGCTAGGATTACAGGCATGAACCACCTTCCCTGGCCTTTAATCTTTTTTAAGACTACTTTAAATGGCAGTAAGCACCTACCTAGTTGCCCCAACTCAACGCCTAGCAGTTGTCCTTGATCAGTATCCATCTTGTCTACATCCATTAATCTTTTTTCTGCCATTTCTCACTTCTAAATACCTCAAGACTTTGTCCCACTGTACTACCTTATTCACTCTACCATCATCTCTGGGCCCCAAGCTTAAAACATTCCCCTCAACCTAAAGGTCTCTTATATTACTGTGTCCTGAGCGACCTTCTCTGACCTCCCTCTGCCAAGGTAGATGAGCCTACTACTGTCCTCATTGCACCCTGAACTTTCCCTGTCATAGCCCTTATCACTTTATTTTCAGTTGCCTATTATTGTCTGAACGTCTTATAGAAAGGATCTATATCTCTCTTGCTCACTGTGTACTCTAGTGGCTATACTCACTGCACTGCATGGCACATGACGAGACGCTCAATAATCCACAGATCAATCATCAATCCAGAATCCAAATGTAGTATGTGTAGACCTGATGTTCAATGGAATATAAATTTATGGCCAGGCATAGTGGCTCACACCTGTATCCTAGCATTCGGGAGGTCAAGGCGAGAGATTGCTTGAGCTTAAAGTGTTTAAGACCAGTCTAAGAGGAGACCCTGTCCCTACTAAAAAAATAAAATAAATAGATAAATAAGTCCTACTTATAAAAAATAAATTAAATAAAATTAGCAAAATTTATATCCAAGCATCAATTTTATCTTATAACTTCCTTGGGATACTGTTTAACACCTAACTTTTTAAAAATTACTTAAGGCCGGGCACAGTGGCTCACGCGCCTGTAATCCTAGCACTCTGGAGGCCAAGGAGGCAGATTACTCGGGTCAGAGATCGAACAGCTCGAGCAAGAGCGAGCCCGTCTGCTATATAATGAGGAGAAATTAATTGGCCAACTAATATATATAGAAAAAATTAGCCAGGCATGGTGGCGCATGCCTGTAGTCCCAGCTACTCGGGAGGCTAAGGCAGGAGGATTGCTCGAGCCCAGGAGTTTGAGGTTGCTGTGAGCTAGGTTGACACTACGGCACTCACTGTAGCTTGGGCAACAAAGTGAGACTCTGTCTTCCAAAAAAAAAAAAAAAATTACTTTTTAAAAAATCTGAATGGTGCCTCGTCACATTTTAAAAGATTACAATTTACAGAGTCTAAACATATTCAGGAAGAGAGTATATAATAAATGACCTGGAAGTTTCTCCTCATCTCCAACATCCAAATGGCTAGTTGGCTTTCCAACTAGCCATTTCAAAAACTAATGCTTACAGCAGATTTCGAGGAGAAGCTGTAACAGTCCTAACAATATTGAGAACTGAATTACATACAGTAAGCCTCGACTTACTGCAACTACAGTTCCTTTTCAAATATATGACTTGACGTTAAGAAGAAGAAAAAGCGGGTCTCTTGGAATGACTATGATATATTTTAATACATCAAATACATATCGGGCAATGTACCACGGAGTGTTCTAAGCCCCTGAGAAGCAACAGTGAGCGAAAAAACCAGGTCCCTCCCTGCATTCATGGGTTCGCAAAGCATCATGATAGTGGAGATTGAATAAACAAGTCGTAGGACTGTGTGTACAGTGTGATTCCTTTTTGAAAAACATTCATATATTTGCACACAAACAGAAAAGGTATGTGCTGTTTGTTATGTGCCAGAAAAAAAGATCCAGATCACTTTTAATAAACATACCTGCTTCTATAGTTTTTAAAAGATGCATTTAAATATAAGTGACTCAAAGTTCTAAAAGACTAAACTGAATATTTAAGCTGATTTATTAAAGAAACACTTAAGATATTATTTTTAATCCTTAAAATATATCCATTGTAATTATCAGAGTTAGTTAGGAAAAATGAACATAAGGCTTTATATTAATATTAATATGAACTGTGTCTGTAGAAAGGATCAGGTAGTGGATGGGAACTAGATGACCTTTTAAGGTTGCTTGTGATCCAAAGACTTGATGATTTTGTAGTTTTGAATATGATCTTTAAGATAATACAATTTAAAAACCAATAAAGCTAATCATTATGGGAAAATATTCACCACCATTAAAATCAAAGAAATAAAAAAAAAATAGTGAATTGTCAATGACAATTATGGCATCATCATCCTAATAAAAATGTTCAATAATTGAGGACCGAAAAAATAATTTCTATTATAAGGTAATGTACAAGCAGCCATTACACATAATACTGAAGGAGAATACTGAATGGTACAGGAAAATGTTTATGATATATGGTTGATTCTTTTTTAAAGTATAACAGCATAGTACTACTATATACAAATATTAATCTCTGGGTGGGCAGATCAATTTTTTTGTTTTCTCTTTTGTGCTTCCTATATTATTCTTAATTGTCTATAATAAATTTATATCAGATTTTGTCCAATTGCAAAAGTATTTGAAATGAATAAAGCAAAAAGCAGCACAAATTTCTGAAGTGCTATTGCTTTCTAAATTGTACATTTCCTTTCAGCATTTAGCAGGCTGTGCTATAACATACACTAAAAAAATATTAATTAAAAGAATACATAATATCTTAAATGTCTATTAATAACATAAAAGAGTTCCTAAAGTTCTTTAAACATTTTTAGAAAGAAATACTAATGTGAATGATTTACCCACACCAAAGAAAAGTTAAGGCACCAAGCAGTGTATCACAAAGATCCTATTCATCTCTCTACTTGCCTTTAAGTTTTCAACCTTTTCTTCAAAGGATTTGAAAGTTGGGGAGTTTCTATGGAGAGAAAAGAAAAACAAATAGTAAAATTACAAATACTAAAAAAAAAAAAAAAAAATCTAACAATTTATAAAACATCTTTAATTTATGATTAGATTATATTCCTCTTCGACATTATTCTCAATCAGCAAAAGAACAGATATATATCTGTATCATATGTGTGCAGGTATATACACAAATATTATGATGCAAGATTATCAACTTCTGATGCAGTATTTCTAAGAATGTGCTTTTGCTTCCATGAAGAGAGCCATTCATAGACAAGTGATACATTAATAGACAAGGTCAAGTATATGTGTGAGTAGAGGGAACAAAGTCAGGTAAAACATCAATTCTGTCACTTCCCCAACCAACTTGTCATGGTCCAAGAAAATGCCACCATTAGATCAGTTTAATTTTGGTGAAGGCACTACACTCTAAAACTGTTTAGATTGGCATCCTGCCTGGCAGGATTCCTACGTGAAACCGTATCATCCAAGCAAGACAAGCAGACTACATACACTTCCATACCAGGGATCCTAATTCCCAGGGAGCAGCATAATATACAGGGAAAAAGGAAGGGGGAAGGACCAAAAGGAAGGGAGAAGCACAGAAACTTGGCTTTGCCTACTTCACAGTGTTGCCCCAACTGACAGAGAGAACACACTCATCCCACAGGACAGGTGCCTTCTGTTCATCCATATTAAGTAGAATCATAGCGCCTTTGTCTCTCACACATGGGTTTCCAAAGCTGCTATCCTAGCCACCTGACATTGAATATCCTTCTTACTACCAAGATGACAAGGCCAAGAAGGGAACAAGGGGTTTCCCTCCCTCCCACAGTGGTGACAGCAGAAGAGTGTAAGAGGATGCTTCTCAAAGCGTGGTCCCCAGACCAGCTTCAGCAGCCACTCTTGGGAACCTCTTAGCAATGCCCATTCTCAGGCCCCGCCCCACCACCACAGAACCAGAAACTCTAGGTGTGAAGCCTGGCAAGCAGGGTTTTAACAAGCACCCCAAGTGATTCCGATGTACTGTAAAGTTTAAGCCAAGTATCTAGTATCTATTGTTAAAAATCCTCTGCCTTTCTAGAGAGGTTAGGTGAGGTATTAACAACAATATGAACCAAACCACTTGCAAGTGCTTACTGATAAAAGCAGATAATAGAATGAAACCATGGTTGGCTCCAAATGTCACACTGGGATGAGGGAAGGGAAAATGGGGAGGATGGAAGAAAAGAGGAGCATAACTAAAGCTAATTTAGACAAAGGCGGTGGGACACCCATATCCAGGAAAAGAAAAGGGTTATTAGACAAGTAGTGCTTACTTTGTCAAGTAAACAGATTTCAGAAATGAAACAAAATAAGGGCTTTTACAAAGTAAAATAGAAATAATTCTTTGTTTTTAGTTCCCAAATATTTAATGGATTTCTTGCACCTATGTCAACATTAGAGAAAGAGTAACTGAAAATTGATAGTGTTAAACATGCAGTTTGTTTAGAATAGAATTTTAGGCCCCTACTTCAGGACAGTTCAGGTTAAACATCTAAGCAAAGAATAAGAAAGCATAAGACCAACTACATTTCATAAAAATATACTTTACCTCATAGCAGGCATGCTAATTGAATGTTGAATGGAGCGTATACTAAGGGGCAGCATTAAAAAGAAATAGAAATGAAGTTAGTATAGTGGTGATTTGACATTACAAAAAGCCAAAAAGACATAGCTGTCTAGTCACTTTATTCTTTCAGCACATGAAGAATTATCTATTTTTTGAGGTGGAGGGGATCCAAAATTATTTCAACATAATTTGCTTTTATTCAGGAGCCAATTTAATCCTAGTAGTTATTAGAGCTAATAACACAATCTTGCATTTTTGTAGCACTTTGAAAACTGTAAAGCACTTTTACCTGGATCTTTAAGGCATATAGCATCAAGGCCCCAAAGTTAAATGATTTACCCAAGATCACAGCAGAATCAAAAATAGGACTTGGGTCTTTGGGACTCCTAATTTGATGTTCACCGCCTCCCCTCAAAAATGAAGTGTGCACACAGACACACATATACACACACAGGCACGGGCACTCAAGGCCAGGGAAGGGCTCTTGCAGCCGACTTTCTCTCAGATATTTGTTCCCAGGCCAGAACAGGAAGGTTCCAAAAATCAATTGCCTATTTGACAACGTTGAGTGATTTTAAAATTGCATCTCCTGCCTCAGTAGTAATCTTAAATAGTACCAGTTTTCCAATAAGAGACACTGTACTTCATCTGAATTAAAGGCCATTCAAATAACATTTGGCCTCATCTCACTCGGACCAACATCTCACTCAAGGACAACGCAGTTCATTGACTGTTCAGGTTTAAGGTTACCTACTCTTAGCCATCTCCCATAGAAACCTCCTCACGAGATGAGAGTACCTTAATTTGGGGGCTTGTAAAATCATTATATTCTGCTGATATTGTTACTTAGCTTATAATATTTTCATCACTGATCCAGCTTTTTAGGTAAATAATCTTTCCTTTGGGTAAAATAGATAGTTCAAAATATTAATTCTCAATTGCATTTAAGTATTTTGTGTGTTTACAATTTATTTTTCTCAAAGACTCAATTGTTACCAATGATAATGTGTTGAATATAGCTCCTCAACTCTAGTTTTGTAATATGTGATAACATGGAGTATGATCTTGATATCCATCAAAATATGCTGGCAGTTTGTGTAACCAAGATAATCAACGAAATATTTAGACGTCTCTGTACTTGATGTCTTCTGTAACAAGAAAAGATCCGTGTAACTCAGCATTCTCTCTATGCTACATGTTGGTGGTTGACACCTTGGGTATAAGACTACAATTTATTCTGGGAGGAATCTGCTAATTATTTTTCGACTTGATCTACTAAAGTGTGTTGGTCCCACATTTTAAGGACAGAGGTTAACCAAAAACGTCCTTATAAATATACACCACCACAACTCCAAATATCACCTGCCCTTCCTCAGACCCTTCAAAAGAAGCTGCCTGGAACAGCCACACTGCCACACACTACCCTCCACCACAACTAATGCCATAACTGCATCAGTGGAGCACCACCCATCACAGCTAACCTCCTGGTTAAAAAAGAAAAAGGAGTTAGGACAATGAAGATTCTCATCCTGGCATATTGTAATTAGGACACTAAGGCTGCTGGATCAGTTAGTGGCAGGTACTTCAGCTAGAAAGTTACAAAGACTTAGATGTTGAAGGTGAAAGCTGCAAGAACACAGAGGAAGCCAGTTCCCAAAGAAAAAAATAGAATATAAGCACTTCTGAGAGAGGTAGAGGAAATGAGGGAGAGATGATCGTGCAGGGAATAGGGCAAGGTGGAAGAAGAACGGGTTTCTTAAGTTTCCTTGGTTTCTGGAAGCTTCCTGGAAGCTTCCACGTCAATTTTCCAGTGAGCAGGGCTGGTTTAGGTGGGGCCTGGGCTTTTCCTTTCCTCTCCTTAGATTACAAAAGAACTTTGTTTCTGTGCAACACATTCTCCTTTTTAGTTGAGCTACTTGACATAGTTTTCTGTTCCTAATAATCAAAAGACTCTTCACTAGAACATTCATTTTGGTAGAGATTACCAAATTCTGGCAACAGAGGGTGAGTAATGGCCAAACATGTGATACATTCCTTGTCCATGGGACTCATACATTGAATTGGATAGTATCAAAATTGAGAAATGGGTAAAGTGCACACTTCAGAAATTCAGAGTTAATTCTAGTCATTGTCCCTGAGCCCCTACATAAAAGACTGCTTCCTCCAACATTTAATCCTTTGGATTCTATACCACTTTAACCAGCACTTACTGACTTAATATGTTTAAGTGGTAATATATAAGGGAAGGCAAGGAAGTGATTCAAATATGGTATTTATTTTGTGAAAAATCACTGAATTGAATGGTTTTGAGCATCTTTCTGTGTGTGTTATATTTTGCTTTATTGTGAGATAAATACACCCATCAGAGAATGAAATCAATTAATAGAGATTCAAAGTCAAGGTTTCCCTGCTTTTGAGGTAGCTATTTTAGCAGGAAGAATAAGAAGCACGTATCAGTTTCAATTCTATCCAGTACTGGATCTTCTCCACAACCAATATTAGATGAAATTCCATTTTGTTGGTAGCTAGTTGTAATCTAACTATAGGCCCTGTCTCTCTTCTCTACGGGAAGTTACACGAAACTTCAACTTGCCTCAACTTGTACATCCTCTCTAATTTCATTCAAGTTTAAATATAAGATGGAAAACTTCAAAAGCAAAAAGTCAGGTTGCTGCTGGACCAGAATTACCACTAACAGACAGGCTGTGAGCATCAGTTACTATGCATAAAGCAAATTTTGTTAAAATTTTCTACCTTGATTTGTAACCCTCGACTATTTTAATCTGTAGTCAAAGTAGGAACGTAAACCTGGGTTCCTCAAAACAATGAAGAAAAAAAAGAGGACAACCTGCTATTCACTCATGGAGTACTTTTCAATCTTACTGTATTTGCTTTTACTTTGAAAAAGTTATTCTTTTAAAAAGCTGAACTGATTTGTTTTTAATTTTCCTTGTTTCTTACAGTTATTTGATCTTTTCATCTCTAATAATAAGACAGGAGAGGTAGAGGAAGGAGAAGCAAGGAGGTAGTAGCAGGTGGAGGAAGAGAAGGAAGAGTTAATGGCTACCATGTTGGCATGCTTACTCTGTGCCAGGCATGCTTTTATGAGCTATCTATATATTATTATTACATTTTGCCTTCACACAATCTCTTGACGTAGGTGGTGCCAGTAGTTACTGTCCAAAGTAACTGCTGGTAGTGCATAAAGGGGCACTGTCTTAAACCATCACTGCTCTGGGGAAGCACAGGAGGACAGTGCAGGCTTTGGACCTAGGGTGTGCTGGGTTCCAATCCTGGCCATCAGCTATGTACACCTCCTGTGCCACCTTGGGGAAGTCAGTGCAATCTCTCTATGACTCAGTTTGACTCAGTTTCCTCATCTGTAATATCAATAATAGCACCTACTTTAGAAGTATTATATATATAGTCTTGCCGACCATATAAGTGGTAACCGTCATTGTTATAAAGGATGATTTTAACGGAAACACAAATTAACATCACTTCATTTTAGAATATACTCTTTTAAAGCTTTCCAGTTGCAGCCAGCTCCAAAGCTAGCAACCAAAAAATATATATTTCTCCCTACCCTCAAACTAAGGCATAAGGCAAATATCTAAATCCCAAGTACTAATTGACTACGTAAAATAACAACTGTTGCTTAGTCTAATACATTCAAGTTGGCAAAACTATTAATAGTATATTTTCTCCTTTTATATCCATAACTACCTTAGAGAGTGAAATCATTGGCATACGTTTGTCAGGTAAGATGGACTCAGAACAAAGTGTGAGATTAACCAACTGTTTCACAGCACTCTGCAAAGGAACCTCCTACAATCCATCTCCATGGAAGAAAAGGACTTGCTGCTGGGATTGGAACACTCAAAAATCTATGGTCCAAACTCCCTCTCCTTGGACAGTTCTTGGGGGAACATGACTAGTTATTTTCCTCTGTGACTTACATGATCTAAAAAGATGTGTTTTTTCTTTACATATGTTAGCACATTAAATCAGATTACAAACAGGACTTCTTGGCCTAGAAATTATTTTGTAAAGAGACTTTACGTAACCTTTCATCTGTATGAATTATACAGTTTAACTTTCAAAAGATAATCTTACAGTAACGTATGGCTTATTGAAAATACAGGCATGGTGCGCATGCTAGTCCCAGCTACTCGGGAGGCAAGAGGAGGATTGCTCGAGCCAGGAGTTTGAGGTGCTGTGAGCTAGTTGACAACTACGGCAACTCACTGTAGCCTGGGCAACAAAGTGAGACTCTGTCCTCCAAAAAAAAAAAAAAAAAATTACTTTTTAAATCTGAATGGCTGTAGTCACCATTTTAAAAATTACAATTGTAAGGTTCTAAACCAATGTTCAGGAGAGTATATAATAAATGACCTGGAGTTTCTCTCTCTCCAACATCAAAAGGACACAGTGGCTGGCTTCCAACTAGCCATTTCAAGACTAAGTGCTTACAGCAGATTTCGAGGAGGAAGGTAACATGCCTAAAAGTATTGTGAGATGAATTCATACAGTAAGCCGTCGACTACTGACAATACATGGTCCTTTCAGATCTGTATATTTGACCCGTTAGAGAATAGTGGGTCTTGGAATGACTGATGATATTTTTGAGATACTCAAAAGTACATATCGGGCATGACCACGGAGTGTCTAAAGCCCTGAGAAGCAACAGGAGCGAAAAATAAACCAGGCCCTCCCTGCATTCGACTGGTTCGCAAGCATGCATGATAGTGGAGATTGAATAAACAAGTCGTCGAGGACTGGTGGTGTACAGTTGTTCCTTTTTGAGAAACAATTCATTATTGCACAAAACAGAGAAGGTATGTGCTAATGTGCTTATTGCCAGAAAAAATCCAGATCATTTTAATAAGACATACCTGTTCTATAAGTTTTTTAAAAGATGCATGTAATATACAGACTCAAAGTTCTAAAAGCTAAACTGGATATATTGAAGCTGTTTATTAAAAAACACACGTAAGAGTATTATTCTTAATCTAAACGATGAA